GGAGGCAACTGTCATAACTCAAATTTCAGTTGAATTTTATTTCATTTTTTATTTTTATTTTAACTAATATGTTTTTTCTTTGTTTTACATGTTAGGTTCATAAAAAAATTGGGGGGCAAAAAGGAAATTTTATGAAGAAGATTGGAAAGGAAGAAGAAGGAAGGGACTTAATTGAAGAGATGAAAAGTTGAAGGGTGAAATGCATTAAAGTTTAACCCAAAGCCCATTTACACCTTAAAGCCATTCCAACCCATCTCAAATGGCCCAAAGTAAGCCGAAAACCCAAAGCCCATTTGACGCAAACCCAAACCCAAAACCAAAACCCAAACCCAAAAACCATATTAAAAAAAAAAAAAATCCAAAAATGCCAAAGTCTTCTTCCTCACCCTCACTTTCAGGAGAAAGTCTACTATACAACGGGGATACCACATCAGATGGTATCCCCATCCAATAACAAAATGACAGCTCATTAAATTTGAACACCTCATCATCTGATTCATCATCCAATTAAAGATAGCTCACCGTTCGATAGTTACCACAATTTAACTTAACGGAAAAATTCTTTATCCCTTGTAAATTAACTTAATCATCTCTTCCCTATCCTCACCCAAGTGCTCATCGCTGACGAAAGTAGCAGTGACTATCTAAGTTTGCAAGATCCCTTACTCCCACCAAATTCCATCTTTCTTCTCTTTAATACCAAAAATATGAGTTCTTCTGAACTATGAATAACGGGTTCAAGGGGATTTGTGGTATGGAAAACTTAGTTATACACAAAAGAAAAAAAAATTAACTTTTTTAGATCTGGGTGAAAAAGAATCAAGTTAAAGTTTTTTGGGTTGAAAAAAAATATTAAAACTTTCTAGTGATGGGATTTTGGAGATAAAGCAACTCGGTGCTTAAATTCGCCTAAATCCTAGATCAATACAAAACTCTATGCACTTTGTTCCTGCGTTGTTCATTTTAGAACCAAAAATTATCTTTCTTTTAACTGCTATAGTAGAGGTTAGAGCTGAGTTGAAGACAGAGAAGGGGAACTTCGCCTTTAACACGGTACTAAAAAGAAGACGAAATCAAAAGACCCTTTAAAGTGTAAAATCCAAAGATAGTTTTTTGGTAGCAGCATAAGCCAAATCTAAACAACCACTAGTCTTTTATGGCCTAGAAATTCAAGGAAAACCAAGTCAGATCGTATGAAAAGCTTTTTGCAAGCACATAATTTCTATTATGAATTGCAGTAGAAGTGGAAGGTATGAGAATTCCAGAAAGAAAGAGAAAGATAGATGAGAGAGGAATGAAGGGAAGAGAAAACGTTTGGGACGTAGAAGTTCTCCGTTTCATATGTTTCCGTTAAGCTAGTGACGTGTCTTTAATTTAATTAGGAGGTGTTTTTTTATGAGGTGTCGTTCTATTATTGGATGGGGATACCAGCTGACGTGGTATCCCCGTTGTATGGTATACTTTCTCCACTTTCAGCCTTTTCTCTCTCATCTCTCTCATCTTCCTCCAACAGCCAACGATTACATCCCCAAAACCAGCCGGCTACCACAAGCCGACCATCATGCCCCTACCACGCCTACGCCCTGCCTTGCTCAGCCCAAACCCTCTACATCAATCTCCAGCTCTGCGCTCCTGCTCTCTGCGCCCAATCCCTGCCCTGCATCGAGCCCTGCCTTGCACACTTCTACTCCCTCTCCTCTGCGCCTCACTGCCGGCCATCATGCTCCTGCACCAGACCACGTGCCTTCCGCGCCTCCTGCACTCTGCGCCTCACTACCAGCAATGATGCCCCTACACGCCCGAGCCATCATCAGCATTCCACGCCCCTGCCTCCATGCACACCGTGCCTTACCCCCAATCCCGCGCCTCTGCACTCCTGATTGCTGCAGCCCCATCATCGCCTCACATGCAAAAGAGACAAGGAGTACCGGACAAATTGGCATCATTGATTGACAGAGCAAGGCCCCTGTTTTTTTGTTGCATTTTATTTTTATTTTTATCATTTTGGGTGTATATATAGAGCGAGAGGCAGAGGTCTTCAGGAGGGCCTGGAGGTGGGGGGAGTTTGGAGTTTGATTGTGGGTTATTTTTTGATTTTAGGACTGGTTTGGGAGTTCTCCTTTTTGGTGAGCTCTGTCTCCGTCACTGGTGTTGAAAGGCTGGTTCGAGAGTGCAGATTTGGGAGAGTGCAACAGCGGCTTAAGGAAAAAGGGAAACGTTTTTGGGTGTGCCTTAGGTAATTTCTGAACAGAGGAATTTTTGGGAAGAGCCGTGAGGGAGAAGAAGGGAGCTTGATCCCGTGGGTGGGATCCCTCCCTTCAGATCTCAATCTGCTTTTATTTCTAAAAATTTCACCTTGTTTGATTCTAATTGTCATAGAGTTTTACTTTATTAAAATTGTACTAGATGATGATATTGCGAATGAAATCAAGCATGTTTGTTGAATTTCATGGATCCGAATTGGAATGGATGTTTGCTTGCTTTCTTTGTTCTGTTTTGTTGGATGGCCGAACAGAAAATCCAGATCCTTTCTGTTTCTGTCCAGATTTCATTTGGTCTAGGTTTTAATCTGTTTTTGCCCACTTTGGTTGGTGGGTTCGTGTTTTTGGGTTGGATCAACCCGACCCAATCCAATAAAAAAAAAAAACTAAAAAAAGGTTAAAAAGTAAAAAAAATCAAAAGTTTTCTCTTTTATTTCAATTTCGCACAATCCTTTCATGTTCAAGCACTTTAGTCCAAAAGTTACAAACCTTTTCAAATCAATCCTCTATTTTTTATTTTAATCAAATCAGTCCATTTAATTTTTATTTGTGTTTATTGTGCATGTATGTTCTTGATTTTGTCTATTTCAGTCCAAAAATAAAAAAAAATGTTTTGATTCGGTTTATCTCTTTTTTCAAGTTTACTTATTAAGACTCAAACATAAATATAATAAATAAGTTGAATTAAAATCCCAATTTTAAAGTATACAACCGTGTTTAAATGGAAGATTATGAAGTGCGCGTATGCCCTTCTTCACTCCTAATCGAACCTCCGAATCTCGATCTTTGCACAGACCCATTTTAGGTGACTTGTCCCACCTTATAATTTGAACGAGTAGCGACTCCCTTTTCTTTTATATTTTTCACACTTGATTTTTCATTATTTTGAAAAAAATCTTAAGTGGTCGTCAACAATAATCAGAAGCATAACCTACAGCACTAGTAACAGATTTAAACTATACCCATGACGAATATAGACAATTAAGTGAAGAGAGCTATCTACAACTAGAGATTGCAATTGCAATCGCTGTATGAGCTAAATAGGGCTATTAATGTAGAAAAGAGAGTCACTATGAGCATCAGAGAAAAGAGAGTCACTATGAGCATCAGAAGCTACTAAACGTCCTCACCTAATTAACCAGCGTCCTCACCTAATTAACCAGCTTCATGGGGAGAGCAAAGGATTTCGGCAACAAATAGTCCCCAAACTATAGGTTGCCATCCGATCTATTTTCTTAAAAAATAATTGACAAGAGGAGGGGTATGGTCCTCTTCTGTGCAATCACAAGGTACCCCATTCATCTGCAAGTGCTCCCAAACATGTTCCTATCTTTTCCAATCCTCTTCAAGTCCTTGCTACCATAAGTTATTAAGGGAACTAAAGCCTTTTTGCCAACTTGAATACCATACTTCCCTTGCAAAACACCATCAGCTTCCCCCACAGCATGTAAATTTGGCCCTCCACACCAAAAGCCAACTATGACCCCCCATGCATAGCCCGATCGAAATCTAAAATTGCCCCTCTCCTTTTTGCTTTGCTCAAGATATCATGGAAATCGCCTAAACATAGCCCGGGCAGAGGAGAAACTATCTTCGGTGATTTGAGAAGGGTCCATGACTCATCCCTGCAAGCAGTCTCTGATTGGCCGAAAAATCTTGTTAATTGCCAATGACAACCACCCGAATCTACTATTACAACATCTATGTGAGATTACGAGAAAGAGGAAAGTTGAAGGTTAAACGCATCATTCTAGAACAAAGTCAAGCCACCCCCTTTCTTTACACAATCGCTTGCAGAACAATGAGCTAACCTTAAATCTATTTGGAACAAATTCATCTCCATTTCCGTTTGCTTTGTTGCAAGGGGCAACACAAAATTAGGCTTTTGCTGGAAGCACAATTGGTTTGGGCTCAAAGATTGTGTAAGCCTCTCCAAAATTGCGATAATTCCATGCCAACATGAGAGGAAAAGAAAGAAAAACAAGGGGAGAAGCTGTTTAAAACAGGGAGTAGCGCCTAGGCAAGGAGCTCGCTTGTCAAGAGGAAACCCTAGCGACGATGAGAGAAATTGCTTTTAAAATTATGGAAAAATGACATTAAGAATTTTTCTTTTTTTAGTTATAATTGTTTTTAACCTTAATAAAATTCAAAAAATTTTATCTATTTCTTTTTTTTTAAAGAATTAAATTTACTTGATTAATTACTTCACATAGTTTTGAAAAATATCTTTTTGATTGATTCAACTAAAAGGTTGATAAAAAGAGATAAATAAATGTGGTAATAATTGAAAAAAAAATTGGTAAAATATTCATATAGAAAGATATTAAAAAAGGGTATGATGTGGCATTGGTGGTTTTCATATAGCTAAATTGGAAAAATGAATAATATAGAAGTATAAGTTAAACGCGAAACCGTTAGGCTTTAATAGTTAAAAGTGGCGGTGTTAGCCATGGAATGCATAGAGGGACGAAATTGATCACTTTTTGAATCGTAGAGGGAGGATACATGAGCTCAAAATGAAGTAGAGGGACGACCTGAGGTGATTTCTTGGTAGAAAGATTAAATTGAACCTTTTCACAAAGTAAAAGGACGACAGTTGGCTTTAACTCTTTGTTATCTCAAAATCTAGAAAATTGCCCTGTCTTCTCTTCTCCGCATCCCAATTCCTGAAATCCCTATTCATACCCAACTAAAACCCCAAACTTACCCTTTCTCTCCTCCATCAATTCTGGTTGAGAAATCTCAGAAATCTCAATACTTGATTTCTTCTGCAAATGCAGTCAATTTTGAAAGATTGCCAATTGCCTCTAAAGGGGATGTCTACAAGAAAGAGAGAGAGTAGCGTGGAGCTAAGTAATTACAAAAGATTTTTTTTTTTCCTCTTCTTTTTCCCATAACCAAACCAGATTTGAAACAAATGTGTAGACAAAGAAAAAAAAAACTAAAGATATAGGAGCAGTGAAAGGAAAACAATTGGAGAAAGAAAAAATTAGTTCTGAAAAGATGAAAATTAAAGACGGAATATGAAAAGAAGAAAACAAAAGAAGTACTGTGAAAGAAAGCGGATAATCGGAGAAGAAATTTAAGAGGTCGACAGAGCCAGAAGGCTCTGGAACTGGAGCAAGGGTCAGGCAGACGATTTGACTTTTTGACATTTTATTTTTACGTCTGTTAAATTATCCATTATCCCTTTAAAAAGGAAAATGATGTGTCGTAACGTAAGAGGGAGAGTTAAAGTGCCCTCGCTAAGAGGCGAGTGCTTTTAGAAGTGCTCTTGTATTAAAATTATATTTTGTAAAATTTATAAGAATTTTAATTTTTTTTATGTGATTTTTTATAAATTCTTTTAACACATTTTTTATTTTTTTTACTTTTAAAAATAACTTTAAAATTTTTATTTTAATAAAAATTTAAACTTATTATCTATAAACAATGAAATAAATAAAAACTTTAAAAAACTCCATCAAATATACACTGAATGGCGTACCTGGTGAGCACTTGATGCGATTCTGAATATAAAACCATAAAGGAAGCTACCCCAGTTTAGCGTCGTTGATCCTACTAAGTAGGCTAAAAAGGAAAGGAAGACAACGATACGGAACACAATTTTCATGTAAGGCGTCTTGCTTTGATCGATCCATTACTCTCTGATATTTTATATATAGAGTGAATGAGGAAAATCAAGAATATTATGTTCATGCATTTTGCCAATTTGGAGGGCCCCAGAGTGGTACAATATAATTTGTTCGATATCTGTATTAATCGTTGTAGAAAGTTTGATAAACATGTGCTTTTTTCTCACTTTGGGACTGACTAGGAAAATTAATAATCTAGGTTAGACTGGTAGTTTTCTTTCTAATTTGGCCGATGGCTAGACCGGTAGATTTGTGCGTTCTAACTCTGCTGGATAAGCACTGAGATCTTGGAAATGGAAAATTGGTTAAAAAGGTTAGATATGTTTGGAAACTGTGCTTTCAGATTTTTATTATATGATTTTTCT